CAGAAAGCTCCAAAATAAGCTTAAAAAAGGGGGGGGGTATTTTCATTGGATGTGGACACTTATTTGTCTTAAGCCTAATTTTTTTTTTAAGTTTATTTAGAGAGAGTGTGCATGTGAGAGTATCTTTGGTTAAGCCATAAAAAGGCTTACTGATAGGAGTCGATATTAAAATTAATAAGACCCGACTTGTTAATGGCCAGACAATGAAGCCTTTAAATTGGCTACATTTGGGGAAAAAAATCATAAAGAGCTCTCAATTGCCTTATTAGTAGAATGGCTAGTTTTAGGGACTCCTTTGACAAGATAAAAGAACAAAAATTAGAGGTGCCTGGGTCGCTCAGTGGGTTGAGCGTCTGACTCTCGACACATGCATGTCGCATCCATGCAGTGGAATATACAACCTAAAGAAAAGGAGAAGCTTTTTAACTTATGGATATGAAAGCTCTCCAAGATACATTGTTAAATGAGAAAAAAAGAGTAAGGGCATGAAACATGGGACGGGGGTGTATATGTATTTGTATAGGCAAAGATCTCTGGAAGGATACGGGATCTTGTAACAGTGGGACAGTGGGTACCTTTGGAAGTGGAGGGGTCATCATTGGTCAGGTAAGGGATGAGGTAGGAGAGAGTCCACCCTGCTTTTTCTTTTTACATTTTTTTGGTTTTTGAACCACTATTAACCTAAGTAAAGGTCAAACAGTTATAATAAAAATCTAAGAAAATGTTTCACTTTCCAACACACCTTATTGGCATTATTAATTACCACCATTTTGGCTTAATGGACATTTGTAAAAGTTATTTATTTTGAATTAAGTCTATTTAAGTTATTAAAATGATCCAAAATTATTAGAAAAAAGCTATTAGGTCATAAATAGTAAAAGGGATCACAGAATGGGAGACACTGGCAGAGCCTGGGTCTCACTGTCCTTCACCTTGTTCCTTGTATTTTAGATGGTTCCTTCCTCAGCTTCAGGTCAAGTTCGAGGTTATTATGTAGACTGGAAAATGCTGCGTGATGTGAAGAGACGAAAAATTGCCTACGAGTATGCAGATGAGAGGCTTCGAATCAATTCTCTCAGGAAGAATACCATTTTGCCAAAAGATCTTCAGGTGAGCTAATTAAGATGCGTCCCAATGTGCCACAAGATCATTCTCAAAAAGCACTGTTGATACTGTTGTAACTTAGTAACAATATAATTTCTGGAGGATATGATCAAATTCTCCCAGTCAACATAAATTAATACCCTTGAAGTTATTCTGGTGAATTTCAGATTAAAGAGAACTTTTCATTCCTAACTAGCCTTTTAACTGTTTATTAGATGATCCTTAGACAGTACTGGTGAATGGTAATCACACAGAAATTGGACAGTTATTTTGGCCTAAGGTCTCTCCCCGACTTCTTCCCACTCTTTCAACACTCTCCAGGCATTGGGAGGCTGTGCTGACGATTGAGGCCATGTGCCTCATATGTGGCCTAAGCTGTTCCTCACCCAGGGCAATGGGTGCCTGCCTCTCTGAACTCCTTCGCCCACCTCTGTGTGCTGAGGTGGTTTTCCATCTGGTTTACTTTCTTCTCATACTCCTTAGCTTGAATAAGAGGATGCCAACCGTGTTTGGCCTCCTGAAGCATATGGGTCCTGCACCTAGCTGGTGACACAGCATACCTGCATTCATGAGTCTTGTTGAGAACCTGAACTCAAACTCAAGGCTACTCAGACTATCAAAAGCTCAGAGGAAAAGAAAAAAAATACTTATAGAAGCTGGCTGAATAATATACAGGCCACTCATTACCATTAATTCTTTTTAATCTTGTCCAGATTAGCCAGATCAGCAGAAGACTGAGTGTCCTGAACCATTCGGTTACGGCTTTTACCATACGGCATTAAGCTACTTGCTTACATTTAGGGAGTCGTAAGAGGAGGCCTCTGAGAAAAACTTAAGATGTTGTGGAGGATGTTATTTATGAAGATCCCCCCCCCCCCCCCCCCCCCCCCACCCCGCCCCAAGGAATGGCTCTGGTATGAGAACCAGCAATAGCTGTTCAAGGACTCTGTGAATTGTAGGAACTGATCCTGGCTCTGTGTTGCCTACCAAGTAGCATACAGATCAAACTTCTGTCCCAGAGGTCTGTCTCTAACAGACTTACAGGCTTTTCACAGTGCACACTATTGTCTCATTGTCCCTGTGCCCCAATTTCCTCATTTGTAAACTGACTTAAATCTTTTTTGGGAACAAGGAGAGGTATATAAGTGTATATATATGATAGGTACGTACATACATACATAATTCATAGCTCTTCTAGGACAGCCTCCACGAAACTTGACTTCCAGCCTGGTCTCCCCTCCAGTCCACTTTATAGCACATACTATCTACCATTCATTGGCTTAATTGTCAGTGTATAGAATTCACTAAATATTTCATAATGGCAACACATGCACAAGCTCTTGGAGATTAGGAAATAGTTTTTTTTCAGCGGTGCAACATATATATTTGATTTGCTAATTCTGTATATTACTCTGTGTACAATGATAATGATAAGTGTAGTCATTGTCACCATACAATGTTACACAATATTTTGACTATATTCCCTATCTCTGTGACATACTTCTTTTATAACTGGAAGTATATACCTTTAATTTTAAAATAACATTTAAATAACATTAAAGTAACATTTAATGTTACTAGTTTCAGGTAACTAACACATTGATTCAAAAATTCTGTACATCATGCTCAGCCATAAGTGTAATCACCATGCAACATTATTGCAATATTATTCACTGTATTCCCCATGCTGTACTTTCCTTTTTTTGTTCTTTAATTGAAGTATAGCTCATGCACACTGTTCTGTTAGTTTCAGGTGTACAACCTAGTGATTTGACAACTCTATGCATTGCTGTCGTCACCACTAGTGTAGTTACCATCTGGCACCATATAACGCTATTTATGATACATTGACTGTATTCTTATGCAGTCTGTACCTTTCCTCCCTGTGACTTACTCATTCCATAGCTGAAGCCTGCTCTTTCTATTTTCCTTCACCCCTTTTGCCTATATACCCACCTATCTGCCCTCTGACAATCACCGGTTTTCATTTTTGTGGGTGAATTTCTATTTTAGTAGTTTGTTCAATTGTTTTTTTAGATTTCGCATATAAGTGAAATCATATGGCATTTGTCTTTCTGTTTTACTTATTTCACTTAGTATAATAACCTGTAAGTCTATCTGTATTGTTACGAATGGCAGGATCTCATTGCTTTTTAAGGCTGAGTAATATCCCATTGTGTATACATACACATCTTCTCTATCCATTCATCTAGCATTGGACACTTGGGTTGCTTACATATCTTGACTATTGTAAATAATCCTATAATCATAGGGGTGCATATATTGTTTCAAATTAGTGTTTTTGTTTCTTTGGACAGATACCCTGTAGTGGATTACTAGGTTGTACTGTTTTCTATTTTTTATTTTTTGAGGAGACTTCATACTGTTTCCCACGGTGTCTGCACCAATTTACATTCCCACTGCAGGAGATTTCCCTTTTCTCTATATGCATGCCACTATTTAATTCTACCCATTCTGAAAGTTGTAAGGTAATGTCTCATTGTGGTTTTGATTTTGATGGTTAGCGATGTTGAGCATCTTTTTATTTGTCTGTTGGCCATCTATGTCTTCTTTGAAAAAATGTCTATTCAAGCCTTCTGCCTATTTTTTAACTGAATTATGTGCTTTTTTGGTATTGAGTTGTATAAGTTCTTTATATGTTTTTGGATGTTAACCCCTTATCAGATGTATTGGGAGATGTCTTCTCTCATTCAGTAGGCTGCCTTTTTGTTTCGTTGATGGTTTCCTTTAATGTACAAAAGGTTTTTATTTTGGTGTAGTCCCAATAGTTTATTGTGTTTTTGTTTCTCTTGCCTGAGGAGATATAACTAGAAAAATATTGCTAAAGCCAATGTCCAAGAGATTACTATCTATGTTTTCTAGGAGTTACGTGGTTGCAGTTTCTCACATTTAGGTCTTTAATCCATATCAAGTTTATTTTTATGTGGAGTGTAAGAATGTGGTCCAGTTTCATTCTTTGGCAGGTAGCACTTCAGTTTTCCCAATCACATTTATTGAAAAGACTATCTTTTCCTCATTGTGTACATCCTTACCACCTTGTTATAGATTAATTAACCATATGAGTGTGGATTTATTTCTGGGCTCTCTAGTCCTATCCCATTGACCTAGCGTGTCTGTTTTTGTGCTGATACCATGCTGTTTGATTGTTACAGCTTTGTAGTATATCTTGAAATCTGGGTTTGTGATACCTCCAGCCTTGTTGTTTCTCCAGTTTGCTTTGGCTATTCAGGGTCTTGTGTGGTTCTAAGCAAACTTTTGTATTGCTTGTTTTAGTTCTTTGAAAAATACTGTTGGTATTTTGATAGGGATTGCATTGAATCTAGAGATTGCTTTGAGTAGTATGGACATTTAAACAATATTAATTCTTCTAATCCATGACTATGGGATATCTTTCCATTTGTTTGTGTCATCGTCAGTATCTTCCAGTTTTCAGAGGATAGGTTTTTCACCTCCTTGGTTAAATTGGCAACCATACTAGAAGTAGTACATTAATCACTTAGGAAGCCAATATGGGAATTAAAATGCTAAAGTAGTAAAAATCTGTTTTATCTACAAAAATTAGTCTAAGGATAAACAAAATAAGAAGATGTAAAATATAACATCATATACATAAAACATGGATGGGGTTAATTTAGTGCTTTTAGTGTATGTTTGAATTTAAGGTACAGCAACATAATACAGACTGTTAAACACTTAAAATGTTATATATAACCCTGTGGTAACCACAAATGAAGAAGTTATAGTAAATACACAAAAAATAGAGACAAAAATCCAAGCATAACACGAAAGAAAGACCTCAAACCCCAAGCGAAAAGAACAAAAGAAGGAAAAAAAAATAGACAAAAACTACAAAAACAATAAGGACACGACAAACTGCTAATAACTGCATATATATCAGTAATTACTTTAAATGTGAGTGGACTAAATGCTCCAATCAAAAGATACAGGATGACGGAGTGGATTAAAAAAAAAAGACCCATCTGTACACTGCCTACAAGAGACTGACGTCAAGACCTAAAGATGTATACAAACTGAAGGTGATGGGATGCAGAAACACATTCCGTGCAAATAGAAGTGCAAAACAAAAAAAGCCAGGGTAGCAATGCTTTAGGTGCATTTTCTGCACTGTGGGGATGGCAGAGGGAGAGGTGAACCAAGATTTCATTGTCAAGATGGAAAGCCCACCCCTAGCACTCCACAGGATTGTGCCAGCCCACCATCTCCACATACAAGTAGTTCAGGTAAACAACCTATGAGTGTAACACTTAGAGAATGATTAAGGAAAACTAGATCTTCATTTGATTCCTGTTACAGTTTGGTAAAACATCCTAAAGTAGAGAATGAAGAAAATGATCAGACTTCTTCAGAGAAACCAACATCTTCAACAGAAGAAAACTGTTTGAATTTCAAAAAAAAAATTTAAATACATAGACAATAAATTTGAAGAAAGCGCATATTTGAAAAATACCTTCAAGAATATCAATTCAGGGGCACCTGGCTGTCTCAGTTGGTAGAGCATATGACTCTTGATCTTGGGCTTGTGAGTTTGAGCCCCACGTTGGGTATAGGGATTACTTTAAAAAAAATAAAATCTTTAAAAACAAAACAAAACAACATCAGTGCATGTGAATCTAAATTGATAGTCATGCAGTGATCTGCAAAGTGTTGCTGTGGATGAGGATCTTCTCAAATAAGGATTAAGTGTGAAGAAAAAAGCAAAATTGGTGAAGCCAATTGAGAAGAAAGAAGACCTTCTCTGGAGGCCAAAACTGGTCAAAATGTACAGATCAAAGACTGACATGTCTCAGTGACAGTTAATACAGAAGTGGAGAAGCTGGAGCCAGCTGTGGCTTTGAGTTGCAGTCAGCTATGTCTGAGGAGAACAAGAAACCCAACCTTACAAAGCTGATAGACCCCTGTGGGTTAGATGATCAATTGCTACCCTGTAACAGAAATGAAGAATTTGTCAGTGTTTAATAATTTTT